CTATTAGGTATTTTTGTTTAATATACTGGTAGCAAAGCAGATTGTGTGGCTAAAACATTTACATGGATCTATACATTAATATTTCTTCACCAAAGGGATTGGAAAGCACTGGAACAGGCTGYCCAGGGCAGTGGTGGAGTCACCATCCCTGGAAATATTTAAAAAGCTATGGATGTGGCACTTGAGGACATGGTTTAGTGGTGGACTTGGCAGTGCTGGGTTAACAGTTGAGCTCAATGATCTTGAGGGTCTCTTCCAGCCTGAATGATTCCATGATTTCACTTCCTTTGGAGTGGTCTCAATAGGGGTGGAACAAGCCCTTAAAATGACATTTTCTTTTTAAAGAGTGAGTTTATTGCTGGACTGAGAGCTATGGGAATTGGTCTTGGTGTGCAGAACAAACTGGAAAAAAAAACCAAAAAAAAAAAAAAACCAACCCAAACAAGCAAAAAACCAACCAAAATCTCAAAAAATTAAGCAGGGAAAGCTTTTCCTCCATTGCCTCATTGGTGTGGCTTGGACTGATGATCTGAAACAATAGCTATAGGTCGTAGTCTTTTTGGCCATTCCATTTTTTGGCTGCCCTATTGAGAGGGTGCTCATAAAAATGGCTGTTGCAGTGTGAGCATCTCTAAGCCCTGCAACATTACCAGTAATTTGTTCTCCTCTGTATTCTGTTGTGTAAACCGTACATGCCTCAGTATTTGATACCTCAGTATTTTATTACAACAATGCAAAGGACTTTACATTTTAATTGCTCTTTGCCCAAGACCTATACATGAAGTGGCAGCTTTTTATTCCACTCTCTGTTAATTTCGATTCCCTGGTTTCTGACCCTACCCTTACTTTAAACTTGTACTGTTTGGTCTTGGCAAWGGAAGAAACAAATAGTTTCAGCTGTTTTTCTATTCACGGCCTTTCTGTTTTATCCTGTGGGTTTTTGGTTTTTTCCAAGTTTTAAATGTGAAGTATTTTAAAACTTTAAAAATGAATGGCTCATTGTGGATTAAAAAGAAGTAGACAGTGAATAATCATTTTCTACTGCTTTTTCTCAGACCATGGAGGAATTACTTATTTCTGCTTTTGTTGACATAAAATCAAGCTTAGCTACAGGATAGCATCATTAGATGCTTTCAGCATTAGTTTTTTATTAATCAAAGTATCAGGTTACCCCTTGTTGGTGTTGAAAAGAAAGTGATCATACTTAGGCATGAGAAGCACATCATTAATTATTTGTTTTCACATTAACAAAAATATGAATATACATGTATATATATGAGATTTCTATCAGACATAAGACAATCTCAAAGGATATAGACAGAAATATTATAAATTTTAAAGTAATATCTTGAAGAGTGTAAAGGAGTTCAAGATGTTGTGATTTATAGTGATTGGTCAGGCCGGGTGAGTGTAAAAGGGATGTAGGAAGGACACACAATCAGGTGTACTCCAGGGAAACAGCCCATGGTTCTTAAGGGTCCCTTCCAATTTGAGAACTTGGCAAACACCCCGATTTTTTTTGTTTGCTTTTAGTTCATTTTAAGATTGTGCTACCTATGTAGGAAAAGAATTGTATGGCTAAATTCTTGTGTACTCAAGCCTGAGTTTGAGTCTCTCTGCCATGATGTGTCCTAATGAGGCTCAGAAGTTGGAGTGTTATTTTTCAGTCGTTGAGACAGACAAAGAGGCACCTTCAGGGCTCCTCTGTGGAGTAGTAAAACATGAAATTAAGTCAGTCTATAAAGTGATGACCTTGGCAAAGACCTCCTTGGACTTTTAAACTCTGGTATCAGTTTTGTAAAATTTCAGCTGCCAGAGTTGCTAAAAATCTGCCATTTAAACTGTTTCTAGCTTCATTCCTTCTCAGCCCTGCTTTGTTTCCTACCCCAGGTTCTGCTGAGGCCAGTGGAAAYGCTGGCCTTCAGGATCAGCTGGCAGCTTTGAGGTGGGTGCAGCAGAACATCGGCAGCTTCGGGGGCGATCCCGGCCGCGTTTCGCTGGGAGCCGATCGCGGCGGGGCGGATGTCACCAGCATCCACCTGCTCACAGGGACAGCAGAGACAGACCTTTTCAGGAGGGCATTGTTGATGGTGAGTTCCCTTCCTGCTGCAGCTTCACCTGCACGGTGAGAGGATGTTGTTACACAGAGGAGGATGTGGCAGAGTGTGGGTGCTGGTTTTRTTTCACCCGTACCTTGACAGCACTGACAGGGCTGTTATTGCTGTAGTTATTTTTCATCTCACCTGTGGCTGTTATCTCCAGGAGCTGAATACTTCACCAGGATGTACAAGAGATGCACTTTGGTGTCTGATTTACTCATAGCAAGAATCCAGTTTTCGTCACTGTGGGTTTCTGTGTGTTRTATAAATAACCTTGTTTCATAACCTGTAGGTACAACAGTTTAGTTTTCCATTCCATCAACATGGTTGTTGGTCAGAAGCTGTTAGACTTTGAAACTGATGAGCCAAACTCCCACATGTTAAAGCATCCAGTCCTTTTATTGGATCTTGTGACAGGTTTCATTTAAAAGAAAAACCAAGTTTCAGAGAGTAAAAATCGGTTTACAGATGGGCTTTTTTCCTGTCAGCTCAGACCATTTTCTCATCCCTCCAAGWAATCCATATTCTTACAGCCTTCCTGTGCTGAATCTCAGGACTCTGAGATAAGTTTTTGCAGCACCAATCAGTCTGTAAAGTAAAGACTTCCATCAGTCTTTACAGCCTCAGATAAGCTCAGTGTGCTCTGAAATGAGGCTTAATCACCAGASGAGGTTTATCTATCCAGCAGAAATGGTACTTGGACAAAATGATCTCTGYTAGCAGTGCTGCCTTGGAACAGTGAGCAGTAGGATAGAATTCCAGGTTCAAGAAGCTGAGGGCCCAATTAAATAAAATCTTGACTTGAAAATAATGACATCTTAATGCAGTAATTCATTTTTTTTCACTGTGCCCTTGCTTCAGGAAACGTACCTTGCCTTTTACATCCCCACGGCTCAATAAATTTATTTTAGTTGCATTACTCGAGTGGGGAAGACAAGGGAAGGTTTTGAAAATTGCTGTTCATTAATTGTTTTTTTTTGTGCAAATCTCAGATAATTATTCTGAGGAATTATCAATAGAGTTCCTAGGTTTTTAGGCATAGAATCTCAGCCCTTGGCATAGAGTTTAATTTGCTGGAAGATGCAGAATCTTTTTCTATTAGTTTCATCCTACTTTGAAGTTACAAACCCTTTACTGACATGGMTGAGGATGGAGCCCTGACACAGTGCAATTTAAGAGCTGAACCAGTTATGGAAGGGAAATGTAGGGGCCTCTTTGTTTATTGTTCTTCTCGAGAGAAGTTCCACATTACATATTTTATTAAAAAAAATTATTAAGCTCATTCTTTCTCCTACAGCAGAACACTGAATAATGGAAAAACAGTGGCACATGTGATGAGCAGGCAGGTGTCACAATTCTTCCCACTTTTCTAGTGTTCTTAACAGTTTTCTTCCTGGGACTGTGCAGACCACTGTCTTGGCAAAAGCAGGAWCTCCACTGAGTTCAGAGTAGTGTTAATTTCAGATTTCAAAGTAGTGTTAATTATTTATCCTGACAGCATCACAATGGATTTAGTTTTCTTATGAAATATACTGGTAAAATAAAAAGCAAACAATAATAGCAGTAGCTTGTAGCTTTTAAATATATTTGGTCTCTTAAAAAAAAAAATGGTGCCAAAGTTGGTTTACTCAGATTTCTCACTTCTCCTGTAAAAAGATGTCTTACTTTTGTTTCAAGACACCAAAATCAATGAGTAATTTTCATTTTACTGTAGAAAAAGGAGGTGCACACAGATTAAGAATAGTGAAACTTAGAATATATGCCAGATATAGCTTCTCTGAAGGAAAATCTCAAGAAGCAATGCAGCTCTGCAAAAGTCAGCTTTTTATGCATGATAAAACCATCCTGTTCCTGAGCACGCAGAGAGGTGTGGTGTGTGAAACTTCCTTTACTAGAAAAGGTGCACCTGAAATAGCAAAATGCTTTTGAGTTTCCTGTGTCTGCCCTATAATAGGTTTTGTTTGGAACAAATCTGAAGACAGATTGTACAAAATCAGTGCAAAGCTATCATGGTGACTTTTTGAAATTTTTCATCTTTCAGTGGTATGATAGAAAAAAAACGTGGTATCAGTGATTATGGTCTTGTTTTAAGAGCATTAACCTGGCATTCATCTTTTGAGTAACTGATATTTTGAATAACTGATTTATTTACCATTCAGTTTTAATGTAGATGACTGGATCAGTGGTGTGGATCACAGGAGGCTGCAAAGGGCAGCTGTGTTGGGTGTCCTCTCCAGGCATTCCTGGTGGGAGTCAGGAGGAGAATTCCCAGCCTTCTTCCACCCAGGGCAAGGGAAGACACCAGGTACCTCCTGGGCAAGGAGACACATCAGGCAATAGTGGAAAGAGTTTTATTGCCTTTCTGGAACTACTGCAGTGCAGGGCTGTCTGACATGGACCCTAAATATTCCTGATCCTGGTGATTCGCTGCTCTTTAGATCCCCTTTCTTCCMTCTTTTCCCATCTCCTTTTTGTCCCCCTTTACCAGTCTCATTTCCTCTCAAACAAACCAGCCAACCACCTCCCATTACTTCTTTTTTCCCAATGACTCCAGTTTTGCTACGCCCCTACTCAAATTTTATATTTCTGATACCATTTCAGGTAGGTAATGTCAGATTTGTATAAAATCACCTTGTGGGCTGGCATCCCTTTCAAGCTCATGTTTCCCTAAAGGTCTCCAATACAGTCTTTCAGTTGATTGTAAGAATGCCCAGACCTCACAGAATTTCCCCATAACCATCTGTGAAATCCCACCATGCCTATGGCACATTTAATTAGTTTTTGTCACTTTCTCATGTCATCACTGTGAGGGTGACCAGGTGTCTGCATGGGTCACCCAGGGAGGTTGTGGAGTCTCCATCCCTGGAGATATTCCAAAGCCATCTGGACAYRGTCCTGGGCAAATGGCTCAAGGTGGCCCTGCTGGAACAGGGGGGTTGGAGCAGAGGATGTCTGGAGCTCCTTTTCAGGCTGAGCTGGTCTGTGATTGTTGAACCTGTCAACATCAGAACTGTCTTATCCCCTTCTCACAGAGGGTGTCCAAGTGCTGCCAATTGCGTGGGCTCTGTTATTCTTYTGTCACCTTCCATCAGACACCTTGTGGCACTGGCATTGCCAGACTGGGTACTTGTAAAAGTGCTCACCAGGTTTTCCWTTTTCTAAAAGCAACACAAAGTAACTACTGAATATTATTTTAATGAATAAATACAAGTCATGACTTAGACATCTGTAATGCTCCCCATATACATTTCATGGATAAAACGCAGTCACCGTAAAATATTAATTATTAGTAAYAGTAATCAGATTATACAAATGCCTAGAGTTCCTGAGTTTCTTTTGCTTTTTGTAGTTCAATGTTTACTGGCCAAATCACATTCATCATTTTAAATTCTGAAATATGCTTAAATAGGCTGGGCAATATTTAGATCCCTGAACCTTTCTTGCTAGTGCAAATGACATGATGCCAGATTWAAAGAGCACATAGATTTTTCCTAAGAGTTGTTTACAAGTAAATATATTTATATATAACCTCTCCAATTCTCTGTTTCTTCAAACCTTCATTATTCAAATCTGTGCAAAAAAAGGTACAAGAGAATATTGGATTGAAACTATCTAAGCTTGAGAACATAGGCTGCAGCATTTTACACCCTCATGTGTGAGTGATTCCTTGGTTTAGAAAGCAATCAGAAGGCAGATTCAAAGGAAAATCTTTTATCACTTAAAGAAGGGTACATACATGTAAAAAAAAAAAAATTTCAGAAAACCTTCTCATCCTTAAGTGGTTTGATGGAAAGTGTAAATACTATTTGACATGACTCCCTTCAGACAAGAAATTAGGAARCATCTCTGACATCCATGGTTACTGATTTGTTCTCTTATTTTAATTGCTTAAAAAGCTGCTATTAATATAAATATTATACATAAATATGTGGCTGACTTCAGAAGTTGAAGTTAAAATATTTTCCTGTATACATGAAAGGTCACACCTTTGCAAGCCAACCTTTACAAGTTAGGCACAATGTTATCACATTTTACTTTTTGCTTAAGCCCCCCCTTTGTTTTCTCTTTTATCTGCTTTATCATGAGCAGTGGAGTTACATGTTTGGCTATGCCTGAACTCCCATCTCAGGAATGAACAGGAACTCAGTGAAATTAATCCCATTCCTAATTTTGTGATTGTTTTATGACACTGCAGGCCATTGCCAGCAAGAGAATTGAATGCTGCTTGTAAAGTCAGTGATTTTAGTTCTTTCTCCTATAAGGTAAGTATGGAGTCACTATAACCAGGTACTTCTTTGATACCAGGTGTTAGGTATTTTCTTGGGGTTATTGATGGCTTTCTGACCCATTCTCAATGACAATGGATAATTCCATCTTGAGAAGAAAAAGGCTCATTTTTTCAACCTAGGCAGGCTCTGTAAAGAAGGTTTTCAGCCTTGTGGAGAATGCCAAAATAAGACTTAATTTAAGTTCTTGAGCTGTAGTTAGTCCTTCCCTTTGCAGTCACCTCTGTACAAAGCTGGGCACTTCCCCTGCACCATTTGGATTTTGACTTAGAGTCCATCTCAGTTTATCCTGTTTTTGAGGCAGTTCTAATTTCAGGTACTCTGGGGACATTCCCAACATATGCCATGGCTGAGATAGCACCCTTGAGAAGATTTCTGGTTGACATTTAGAAGAGAAAATGCAGAAGCACTGCTGGGGTTGGGTCACCAGCTGGACTGGCTGTATTTCTCAGCTGTCAAAGGACTTCAGGACCACAGGATGCTCTGGTTTCTCTTCCAACTAGTCAGTTTGTGTTTTTTTYCTGTTTGTCTTGTATTTAGTCCTCAAAGTAGGCAGGTGGGAAGTGAAGGGCGCTCTTACGCTTGCTGCCTGTGTAAATGAGAGAYTGGGATTTCTTCCTTCTGGTGCTTGCAAAAGAAGAATTGTCGTCCTCTGTTAGGGAGAGGTAGGAAGTGATGCTTTCCCTCAGGCCATAGCTGAGGCAAGACTCATCCATTGCTGCCAGGGTGCTTTTGGTATCTTCAGTCACCTCCAGCCTTTAAAAGAACAAAATTTTGTTACYATTTCAGCTACTTGGACTGAGCCTCTTGAGATAATAATAACAGTTTTTAGACCTAGTAATGTTATTTTTGTTATATAAAAACATTCCTGCCTCATAGATCACCCAGCATTTCTGTCAGCATTTCTCAAAAATCTAATACAAYAGTAGTATCTAAATATTTTCTGGCACTTGAAAAGGAAGTGTCATCTATATTCTCTTTTTAACCTGTAGGAAAAATTACCTCAATACTGCACAAAATTTTCTTGCCTTCGTAAGCACATGAATTTTTGTGAAGGAAGAGTAGTGGAGGGAAATTTACACTTCAAAAGTAAAAGGTGCTTTTGTTTCTGAGGGTGGTTGTTTCCCCAGCTTCTGAAACCTGACCTACTTTCTCTTGTGGCAGTTGTGACATTAGAAATCTCGTGAACTGGGCTGTGTCTTGAGAAAGGAAAGATTTTTTTCTGGGATAATGTGTTCATTGCACCCTCCCTGGGTGTGTGGGCAAAGGGGAGCCACTTCTGCCTGCCAGGGATCCGTGGGGATGGATCAGCAGCCCTGGAGCTCATTGGCTTTGTGACCTGGCCCTTACTCCTTCCCCCCTGGTGAAAGGGCTCAGGAGTCCCAAAGAATATGTGGATAGCTGGATAGGAGAAATGATTAAATGCTTTGATATACTTTCTTTCAAAGTTAACTGGATGCCCAGCTCAATCTAGTTTTTCATGGGTTAGCTTGGTGTTGGCAGATTGCCCAAACTTTAAATCTGCTTTCAGGAGAAGGAAATAAGTAGCTGTGTCTTCTGTGTTGCAAGTACAAGTATATTTGAGACTGGAAACAGCCCTGTTGTTTCTGGCARCCTGTGCTGTGTGTGGTACCTGTGAATGTTTCTCCAGCTGAAATTTTTATTCCGCATCACCACAGGAGGAACTGGATTTGTCACGGTGTTGTTGTTGGTGCACTGGGTAAGACAAGGTGTTGTGAGGACACAGCAGAGGCCATCAGCAACTTCTGAATAGGGAAATGAAGACACAGTTAATCTTTGCTTACTGTTTTCTTTCCCTGGTACATGCTCAAATAAACAATTTTGGATCRGTAATAGCAGTCAATAAATTGTGTGTTCTCAGCAAGGACACAGTAACAAAGGCTTAATTTTTTCCTTTCCTCATACCTTTGCCTTTTAATTTTTCATTGGGTCTATTTCATGCAGTACAAGTGAGGAACTGAGACACAGAAAGACAAAGTGACTTRCTCAAGGACTAGAAGGAAGTTTGTGACAAAGCAGAAACTTAAACCAGGTTTTCAGAGCTCTCAGTGAGTTCTGCTTTTGCCCTCCATTGTCTCAGCCATGCAATCAGGGTGTAAAAAAGATCAGATTGGATTGTGTGTGCACCTATTCTTCTGTGGAAGGTGGCTGTGGATTGAGTTGAGGTTCACATGTTGCTTTCATCAATGTTTCTGCTCTCTATGCTGTTCTTGCTCCCCTGGAACATCACAGATATTCTTCTGCCCAAGTAGAGAACATCATGGCTGRATGCTGGTGTTCTACAGCTCTGAGCCTTAATTCAGGTGAAATTCTCTATCTTCTCATGGTGGAGGAAGGAGGAGAGCTAAATCTTACAGTGTCTCCTCTTACATCTATAACTCAAGTATAGATGTTAATTGTTTCAAGTTCTGGATTTTGTCTCACCCCAGATTTTAGGCTTCAATTGCTTGCATCTTTTTAATTGGTGAAAGGTGTCAAGTAGCTCACATGTAAATATATATATATATATATATATATATACACACATATATATATATATATTCTCCTGTCCAAATTCTTACTCCTCTCTTAAAATTTCAAGAACAATTATATAAATTTGCTTGTTTTGAATGTGAATGTGAGTTTTCTCCTCAGTTTATGAGTGCAGTTTTTGGCCAGCTCACTTTTTCTTTTACCTCTGAAATAGTCAGGTATGGTAACTTCATGCTTTTAAAATTACAGAGTACCCATTGCTAGTTAAAACACAGAACATATTGTTCTCTTGTAACTTTTAGGCAATTAGTTTTTTTGCAATTTCCTTCCTCATTTTAGAATGTTCTCATTATGATGCATGGCAACTGCAGCMACTTAATTGTGTCATTTGTCAAGTTATTTGTCTGGCACGGTGAAATTGCCATAAATCTGGAAAACTGTCCTTGAAAAAGGTGTCATCCACTGGATTGATATTAGTAACAGTGGCAGCTGAATCTGCAACTGAGCTAATAGCATGAGTTCCTTTTATAAGTTCTGCTGATAAATTCCAGCCACGCTCTTCTTCTAAAGTGGTGGGGAAGAAGCTTAGAACATTTCCGAATTTTTTTTTTGCTGCATATAAGGTTGTGTGCTTAGTGACTCCTAAGAGAAATGAGCTCAGAGAACCTGGTATTCCATGCCCTGAAGCTGTCAGCCCTTCCATGTGTCAGATAAATAAATGGCAGACGTGTCCTTGGYGAGCAGAGTGAGCCAGGGGTTAAACTCTGCCTCTGGAACCCGGAACTGTGGTACATGGCATCTGTRCAGATGAGCATTTTTGCATGCTCACACTTTGACTTTAGGTGTGCTCTGAGAGGGGCTGGACATCCCTGACCTGTGCTGACCTACAAACATTTGGAAGTTTGGAAGTAGCATTTGGWAGTTTTCTAGGGAAAGGCTAGACATTAATGTTTGGCCCAAATACTGTTATTGACATGGCCCTGCAATGTCTTGTACCAATCCAGGCAGAGCCTATCTGGCTTTTTTTAGCTGAGTTCTTGTGTTGATTTCAGTTGTGCTGTTAAGGCCAGCCTATTTTATTTAGGAAATAATAAAGTAAAATATATAAACCTAAACTTTTTCCATTGCTTGTTCTGTGGCACCAATTGCAAGTCTTGGACATAGGCAAAACTTCTTGTTCTGAACCTTTAATAGATAGTTTTWCAGTTGCCAGTGGAAAATATGTTTGTTCTGTACTTGTTTTTACCTGAGTAGTGGTTGACAAGGTCTTCAAGGCACTGGAAGGTTTGCCGTGGAGAGATGTAATACCAATTATTGGGGAGGCGGAAGATCCGGTAATGTTTCACCTGCCTGTGCCTCACTGACAGGGAATATAAACCTGGAGAGAGAAGAACAAATGACACCATAGTAGGGCTGCAGTCCTGATTTGGTATCTCAGCAGAACAGGGTATCTGTAAGATGCAGTGCCATTACCCAAAATTTTAGAAAGAGCTGAAAAAATCTGAGTGGCCATCCTAATTCATACTGATATAGTATACTTTATATATAAACATAAGTATAATAAATGGTACAACATGGCTTGAGATTTTGGTTGAATTTAAATTTCTGGTATGCTTTTCCTTTATTTTTGCTGATATGGGATCTTTTGAAATGGAGTAAAGGAAATAGGCTTTTACAGGAATTGTTTGCCTTGCATGAATAGGGAGGTCAGGCTCAGACTGGTATTCTGGTTCAGTCAGCTTCGAGTAATGCAGTAACTGAGGTCTGAAAATGCAGTCATGGCAGGAGATGGCCATTTCAATCTTTCTGTTTCTTTATTTAGAAATGTTTTGCACCATTTATTGGCAAAGACTAAATGCTAATTCTAAATTTCTTTGAATTCAATATAGATGTTAAGAAAATAATTGGCCTGTGGTATGCAAGAGGTCAGAACAGATAATCCATTATTCCCTTTTATCTGTAGAATTGTGATATTAGGATGTGTTCCGATGCTTAGAAAAGGAAGAAAGAACCTTGCACATGGGAGATTTGTTCAGCCTGGAGATGAGGAGACTGAGGGGAGACTTCACAGCTGTGTTCAGATTCCTCATGAGGGGAAATGGAGGGGGAGGCACTRATCTCGTGTCTCTGGTGACCAGTGACAGGACCCAAGGGAATGAAGCCCTGAAGCTGTGTCAGGGGAGGTTTAGGTTGGATATCAGGAAAAGATTCTTCCCCCAGAGGGTGTTTGGGCACTGGAAAAGGCTCCCTGGCGAAGTGGTAACAGCACCAAACCTGAGAGAGTTCAAGGAGTGTTTTGACAATCTCTCAGGCACACGGTGTGACTCTTGGGATATCCTGTGCAGGATCAGGAACTGGACTTAACGATCCTGATGGATCCCTTGCAACTCAGGATATTCTGTGATTCTGTTTCTATGTTCGCATTGAAGAAAATAAAAGTATAAAGCTGGTACATTATAATTCCCATGTAGCAAAAGAAGGAAAATAAAATTAAAGGCCTGCTGTTTTTAAAAGTAAATAGAAGATTCCCCCACTGTTTATATAGGAAACACACTTATCAGACCCCCACTACTAAGTGTGCATTTTACAGCTTCATAAATCAATTTTTTTGTGGACCAAGGCAAAACTGGGACTTTTCCTTCATTGAAAATTGCCACTGCCTCACAAGATTTGCATGCAACCAAAGCAAATGATGGTGTTTAAACAACTGTGTCTTGTTTGTGCTGATGCCCGTGGAACTTTCCATGGCCATCAATCATCCTSTTTCCAGTAGGTGACTGGTGAAGGCTGGCACACTGCACTGGGTGCCTTCACCTTCCCATTATTTACTTTTTCTGGTTTGGGACTGATCCATATGAAGCAGGACAGGGAGTTTATTGAAGAGCTGTAAAACTGTTAATGCCTGAGGTCAAGAGAGAGAAAATCTGTATTGTCTCACCTTTCCTAGTTTCACTCTCTCTGATCATGAAGGAGCCRACCTTGGTGTTGGGTAGCTGTAGAAGTTCCTCTGCTTTTTCTCTTCCCAGCCCTTCAAATAACCAGCTGCAAAGCAGGAAAAAACAAATTCTGAAATTTGGACACCAGTGAAACAGAGAGCAGCATGTGGCTGTGAAAGTGCTGCCTTAGCCAGGAAAAGGGACTGCAGAAATAACGCTGTGGTTTTCTATAGTTATTCTCTCAGCTATGCTCAGGCATATTCCCCCAGTTTATGGAGAAAATTTTGCTGGTTTTGAATTTCATTAACCTTTGTGAGGTTAAGAGAAGAGTAATACTTGGACTTAATAAGGAAAACAAAATTGTTTGAGCTGCCTTGATCTGAATTACTGGGGACAGATCCATGTTGTGTATTAATGACATCTGTGGCATTAGTTAAATCTCTCTTTTTCATTTAAACCATTTTTGTTAACCCCAAATTGTATCATAAATAAACCCCAAATAAGTTACAATTATTTTGCTTCTACTAGGGAACAGTCCAACCATTTCAATTAATGGGTTTTGTGGATAAGGGAAAATGGAATTAGTCCTACAAATTTTCACCCTAGCTTGGTGCACTGCTGTGTTTTGCCACAGCCAGTGCCTGACCATGCAGCTGGGCTTGCTCAGCTGGTCTAGAGTTACTGGCATTTTATTTTAAAGTTGTTCTCATGTGTTTGATCCAGTCTACTGTCATTGAAGCTTCAGACAGAAGCTTCCATTACCCCACATCTGTGCCCAGTCTTTGGGAAAGCATCTCTGTTTCAGGAGGATGTAAAAGCACGTTAAAATTTAAGCACTTGCATAGTTCACAGTGACATTCACAGTTCATATCCTTAAAACTAAACAGGTATTAAAACATTTGCCAGAAAACTTTTAAGTGTGTGCTTTAATGTTTGGTTTTTTTTGGTTTTTTTTTCTTTTTCCTGAGTGGTGTCTAGGGCAACAAGAAATGTCTGAAATTTCCTTAGTTCTTCCAGTGAGAAAGTTTACATTCTTGGATGACTTATTAGTGTGTCTGTTTGTTCTTTTTGGCCTGTTCATGAGCAAACCTAGCTTAAATTTTACTCTATGTGAGTATTAAAAATTCATTCTAAAGAGGCTCTCTTTATCAGTGTCTTAAAGTTAGAGATCAGTCCATACAACAGAAGCATAATAAATATCTTATATGCCGTTTGAGGTGGTTTTGGCTCTTTCCAGCTTTTAAAAGAAGGATTTTCCTTTTCATTTAGTCTAAATTTATATGTGGATTTGATGTTCTCAGTTTTCWAAAGAGCTATTTTAGACTGTCAATAAATAAATTTTCTGTCTGTCCAGTCACTATTGGCATTGTTTGGATTAAGACTCTGAGTAATCAGAGGAGGTATAAAAATATATATAAATGTAGTGTTGAAAGGCTATGGGAAATCATTTACTTACCCATGATAAACCTTTGCTACATATTTTCCTGGAATGTAATTTTCTCGACCTGTTGTAAGGGAATGGACTCTCCACCAGCCTCCTTCACTGTGTGAAAGCAAGWGAAGGCATATTTTAGATGTTTATTTTCAGAGCTTCTCGTCATTTTGGAAATTAGTGAAGACATAGAGATTAGCACCTTTCTGGGTGTGCTTCTGAAACTATGTATTCAGAAKGGGACCCAGATTGGTTTAATTTAGAGTAATCCCATTTCTAAACCYACTTGAGAATTACATTTGGACACAGAAATAAGCCACATTTGTTCCATTTATATTACGTAAGTAATAAAATATTTTTYTGTAGTTGAAAGARGAAGGGTAAATACTCAGTGGTTAAAGCATGCTGTGCTCTGCCTTCCCACAGCTAGACTTGTGCTGGTGTCCAGGATATTCGGTTTACAGMTGAGTGTGTTGTGTCTGGACAGCCCTGTAACATCAGGGCAGAGGTTCCTGGGGAATGGAGCCTGCCTGCTTGGGAACTTTCAGGCTTTCAGTCCAACAGAACCCCGTTCACCGTTTGCTCTTTTCCTTCTCTTCCATGAATGGCAGACCAGAGTCCAATAAAAAAGACCTCATAGCTGGAGCTACAGACATAAGTATTTCCCCCAGTATATCTTAGGTTATTGCTGTGATTCTGAATGCTGGCTTTGGCTCTTGAATCCCTTCAGACAGACAGGGTACCAAGAATTTTCACAGGGACACTGCAGAGCTTTAGTCACAGTGCAAAGATGCTGATGATTGATGGGTTCTCTCCAGCTTCACTTTATGAGCTTGAATCCAAGTAATAATGTCCTGTGTTTGAATGCTGCTTTTGTGGATGTTCAGATAAATACTCCTAAAATAATGCCCAGAGTGCAGACTAGAGGCTCAGTGTGTGTCAAAACAGCTGAGCTGAAGTCATTTAGGTTACATGTCATGAGTTATAGCTGCTGGGACCATGGTCCAGAATGTCTGTGCTGAGGGAAAAATGGAAGTATCTACTGCCCAGAGCTGGAAATTTCAGGGCCCCACAAGTTTTGGGTTTGGTTTTCCAGCTGGAATCAAATTATCAATAAGTATTTTAGGTTATGTTGGTCTTATTTTTCTTCCCCCCAGAATTCTCCTGGACAGAAACAAGAATTGCAATTAAAAAAAAAATTGAGAGACTCATCATCTCTCTCAGTCCAAATTTTAATATTATTAACCCTGAAAAATTCCTATGATGAATAAAAATCCCAAAGCACGTCTCCTGGGGCAGGAATTACAGAAATTATGTAGATTAGGGGGAATCTTGGAGGACATTTGGTGTGACTACTGCCAGCTAAATGCAGTTGAAATGAAAGGTGCCTGACCAGTGTGGAGAGCGAGACACTGGGCCAGTGATGCTTCTCTAATCCTGCCAACCCAGAGCAGTCACAAATATCTGAGGAGTTGCATTTCTGTATCCATTTCCATTCCATACATCCTGTTCCTGGCAGCACTGGTGGTTCTGATTGCCTGCAGCCTTCACTGCACATCATGACTTTGGTAGAAGCTGCTGTTGGAAAAGAAGAAGGTGCTGCCTGCTCATGCTGATTTCGCTCTGGTGACTCCTCATCACTTGTGCTCTGATTATTCTGTGCTGCTCTTCTTTTTTTACTGTGTTTTGTTTCTTTGAATGATTTGGGAAAARGAATTACAGCTTATGAGCAGGAAGAGGCTGCAGGCAAACAATTCCTGCTGACATCAGAACGTACCCCAGCGGGGCAGAACAGGTCCTGCATTCGGGCACTGTGGTTTGCATTGAGCGTTGGATTGTCTTGTCTTCTGTGAACAAGCTCATGATTCAAAACAGGAAGAGGAACATTCCCATCAAGGCATGCTTTGGCTCTTACTTATCCATCAGGAGAAGCCCTTGATCACTGCACAAAAAATGTCAGAAACTTCTGGTGCAAAAGCCTGTTCTTTTAGAAGCTGTTCCTGCAGGAGGTTATGCTTTGAAGCACATGTATGCACATGATATGCCATACATGTAATTCCCATYGATATGGGTGTAGGCAGCCATGGGAGGGGTGAGGTCCTGCAGCTGATGGAAGCTGAGAGTGAGGCTGTGAGATGGAATTTCCAAGRTGGAGCAGTTGTTGTATGACATCCTCTATGTTCTGCAAACAGCAGCAAGGTTTATGCTGCCAGAAGCTACCAAAGAATTCCCCTGGTTTAGGGGAACTCTCCATCAGCAAAAAATTTATCTGGTAGTATTGTCTGAGCCTTGGGACCTCTAGGTTCAGGGAGGCAGGAAAGCACTGTCAGCAGGACATAAATGCAGTCATTGTGTGACTGACAAATGCCACTGCAGGTCATGATGGCCTGGAGAAGAGTCTGAGAATTCATCAGTCATCCATAATGCTTCTCTTGAACACTTCTCTCCTCCAGCCATTTCACTATCTGCTTGAGAATTTTGAAAATGAGTTTAGTCCTTAGAGGATTTCTCTGCTATTAATGTGTCAGTCTCCTGTTGAATCCATCTGCTCCACCAGCTGCARAAATGAAATCTTTCGTTTCATTTTGAGCAGTGCCAAACAGTGGCTGTGRGGCTGAGTAACTTCCAGGAGGTCACTGTGTGCTGATACAAGTTGTACATAGAGGAATATCAGGGCTGCTGGATTCCATTTTTCAGGAGGTGTGCTCATTCTTGTGTCTGGCAATATTTGTACTATGCTCAAGATCAGTCTGAACTAGTGCTCTTAAGTCTGCTGCCTTCTGGGGTTCTTACATTTTTTGAGTGGAACTGTCTGGGACATCTCTGACTTCTTTTTTTCCCCTCTAAGAGAATGCAGAGTCAATTAAAAAAAAGAAAAAATGAGGGGGAAAAGAGCCCCTTTTATTTTATTTTTGTTTGATTTGCCTTAAATCAGGATGAAATTCTAAAACTTAATCATAATGGAGTTGTTAAATTAAAAAGGGTGAGAGAGAAAATGACAGACACACTTGACATAAAGAAATTCAGAATGATTTCCCTTTTTTATTCAAACTATTTTGGCTCTTACTCTGTTTTCCAATAACATTTGGGGAATACTTCCTCATAATTATTTTTCAAAGCAGAATTCTCTTCTGAGTCTTATTTCAGAACAGAGTCTGAGTCCAGCTTGAGAAACCTAAGAGAAGTCTAAGGATGAAAGAACAGTCTGTAATCCCAAATACTTAAACTACATGGAAATTTACCCTTTGGCTAAGCATCCTTCTTTGAAAATTCTGAACTCAGTTCATTTTGCTGAACTGCATCCAGTTTGGGCCAGGTGCATAAAACAGAGCTTTGCTTRAATTGTAATGAAACCTGATTTAAATTGATCAACTTACTCTGATAGCACACGTAGTTTTTCCCCTACATGAAATATWGGTTGGCTTATATCTGCTGAAGGATAGTCATAGAGAACAGCAAGGAAGTCACTCTCCTGACCTGTTAAAGAAGAAAGAAAATGTCACTTAAAACAAAGGTAGGGTTCTGAAAGAGAACTGTACATTTCATTAAGTATGATAGATTTTATGTAAGAGGTCAAATGGGAAAAAAAAAATCTCTGAAATGTCACTTAATTAACAAAAGAAGCTAAAGATGAACCTATAGATTGATAAGAAGAATGTGAAGATATTAAAAATAAAAAAGTCACGTGGTTAATTGTAAGTAACTAATTTAGACCACTTTTTTCAGTAATTACCATACTTGGAGGACATGTTCAATTTGAAAGTAAAAAAATTAGTAAGTATTTATAGTATTAGGAAGTAACGCAGTTTGATTAATAGCACTGTTTCTAATTGCCTCCAGCTAGAGTTTTGTAGCATTATATTTGAGAAAAGGAAGAGAYATGTTGAATTGTTCCATCATTTAACACCACTGATCCTTTTCAAAGATATGAAATCAGTTTAGATCAAGGTCAGTGAGAGTGTGGCCATTATTGCCYATTTCCACCACCTTTCAAAGGAGCTTGATGAACAACCACAGCACTTTGTTCTCACCCTTGTGGAAATTGTACCAGAGGTAACCCAAGACACCCTGAGCCTCAATGAAAGAAAACAGGCACATGGGTGTTTAGGATGAAACCATTGCACAATGGCAATTTGAGAGCTGAGGTCAGCAAGGAGATGAGAAGATTTTTCACATCAGCTGGGATCACTCTGGGTCTGGCACCCTGTGTAGGACTCATGTTGAGTCTTCTGGTTTTCTGAAGGAGCATTTATCAAAAAACTGAGATTATCGAACATAAAATGCTCCTCATCTTGCTGGAATCTGTGGTGCTCTGTAAATGSTGGCAGCTGGGTGACTCAGAAATGTGTCATGTTCGGTGTCTTGAGCTCTTTGGCAGAAGTCCTGGCAGTAGGGATTGTGCCCTACAGTGCCAGAGTTTCTCCTGGAAGCAATTCCTTCCCTCTGCATGTCTCAGTACCCTCCACCAGCTCACAGGGAGACAAAGCTTCCTGCTGCCTCCACCAGGATCAGCACCCAGTGCTTTGGGACACCATCGAGCAGAATGTTTGCAGAGGTGGCTTCATATCCATACTTCCCACTCTGTGCAGCCCAACATGTGCAAAAATGGGTGTGAATTCAGGGTAGGAGAGAAAGAAATTAGACATATTTTTTTCTCATTTAATTTAGGTTCATTTTCGATTTCTCTTTAAGGAAGACAGCTTTTTGAGGAAACCTAGGTGCAACATCCTGAATGAATGCTGGAACCAGCTCTATTTTCAGTCTGTGTTTCAGGACCTCAGAAACAACTCACAGCAACAGTGATAGAAGGCTGAAGGAAACATGCAGAAAATAACAGATTGCCCTGAGAAGTTGTGGATGCCCCATCCCTGGAAGTGTTCAAGGCCAGGTTGGGTGGGGCCTGAGCAACWTGATCTAGTGGATGGCATCCCTGTCTGATGCTGTGAGACTGGAATTAGATGATCCTTAAGATCTCTTCCAACCCAAACCATTCTATGAGAATTTTGTCAGTGTGTTTAGTATTAGTAGTGCCATGTTTCTCTTAGTTATCAGTGTCACKGGATTATACAGGACTAGTCCAGTGCAGCCAACCACTGTGATCACGCTAAGATAACTTGTGTGATTGTATGATTATACACTTAGTTCATCCCTACTGAAGAAATTCTCTGCTAAGCCTTTGATGGCTTCATTCCACCCAGAAAATCTAGTGACACTTTCCTGTCTACAAAAGTACTCAGCACCTGAGGCTAATGACACCTGAGCCTTTTTTGACAAAACAAAATCTTTACCCAGGACTGCAAGAAATACCAGCCAGAAGGTGCATTTTAAGAAGTGCACGATGAGGATAAACTGTCATCACCTAATTTCTCATTGCAGATTGTAAAAATTGTTCTAGGTGGCATATAACTTTTTTAGCTTAAGGACATGCCTTTARCAATGCTTTTTTAACAATTTATGCTGTTTATTTATAAATACTCTGCTTCCATAGTGAAGGAGGAAAAAAAAGTGCTTTTCTGCTCTCCTTGCATACTGGTCATTTGCATTTCGTTATGCACTATGGGGTACATGACTTTTTCTCTACTCTAGCAAGACCTTTGTTACTTTGCTTACACATTCATATTTATAGTTATTTTTGTTTCAGTTTTACATGCCAATTTTTAGYTCTGAAGAGGAAGGGATTTATCATAGTGTTGTCTTCCACATCCATGCAAATGTGTTCCTCCTAAACTACATGCTGTTATATAAAAGTGTAAAGAAAGGAGTGAACCCCCTCCTTCTTCCCTTCATTTTGGTTGGTGTTAAAGTCAAACCTCACTGGGTTTTTTTGGTGATGCAAAATACTCCACCACACTCTACAACATTTCACAGAACATATACTCGTTCCTTACAAACACAAAAGCCTGGAAACAGGAACTAAACAACTTACACTTTCTTCACACCTAAATTTCACAGTGATCTAATAGATTTGATMTGCTGAGCTCCCTGCACTTTCAAGATGTGAAAGAAAAAAGGTTTGCCCGAGTTTATCTAACACAAGCTCTCCTCCACAGTGCAAGTGTAGGTTACTTCTCAAATGGAGCAACTCAAAAGTTAGAGTGGAAAGATCGAAGCACAATCATTTCCACTGAACCAGGTGTTAATTCTGTGTGGTTTTTWAGGAATAGGAAATGAATGTGAAGTACATGCTAATTTTAGATGTCTTCACCCCTGCATGTCTTGCAAAGTGTGAGATGAGATATTGTGTGTGTCAAATTATTTATTGGCAATGGGCTATCAAGCATTATTAGAGAGTAGAGAGCATAGGCAGAGCACCCAGATCCAGCTCATCAGCCTTCATCACTGCCAATGAAGCCTGCAGGCTCCAGTTATCTGCTTTCTTCCCCCTTTTTGTTGGACACTCTTTCATTCCTTCTCTTCTGTTTCAGTCCTTCGTTTTATTCCATCTCACTGAAATGAGCCAGTGTCAAACCTACTTTTCCTAATAACTATTTCAACTACTGAAAGTCTGTGGATTGGATCTTCCACCTCAGTTAAAACAAGTCTATTCCTGGCTTGGTGGAAATCTTCTGTGTTTTGTGATATGCTTTAGAGTTTGATCTGCTCAGGAAGGTGAACAAACAATTCACTGGATTAACCCCAACATATGCTTTAGTACCAGGCTAATTTTCAGAAATCTTTTTTCATTGTATTTGGATGCTTGTATTCCMAACTTTCATTAACAACATCTAAGCCATTATTAAAAATGCTGCTCTGATCCAGACTAAGAGAGGCTGATAAATCCTAGAATCATAGAATAGTTTGAGTTGAAAAGGACATTTACAGGTTTTCTAGTCCAGCCCTTTGCAACAGGGACATCTTCAGCTAGATCAGGTTGCTTGGAGCCCCATCCAACCTGATCTTGAAAGTTCCTAGAGATGGGGCATCTWTCACCAATCTGGGCAACCTGGTCTACGAATGGATGTTGCACCATCCTCACTGTAAAAAATTTCTTCCTTATATCTAGTCTAAATCCACCCTATTATTTAAAACTATTATCTTTGTTGTAGCACAACAAGCCCTGCTAAAAAGTCCATCCCCAGCTTCCTTTTAAGCCCCCTTTAAGTATTTGGAACTGCAGTAAAGTTTTCCTGGAGCCTTCTCTTCTCCAGGCTGAATAACCTCAGCTCTCCCAAMCWCMTAGGAGAGGTGTTYCATCATTCTGACAATTTYTGTGGCAAAACCCCTGCCTCTGGATGTTTAWGCATATATATCTGGTGCAATTTCAGTTGTGGGAGTGTCTGAGATATCCTTATGCCCTTGGCAGGTGCCACTGCAGSTACAGGAGACTGTTCTCTCCCCAGGTGGTAGCAGGTCAGGCAGGATTAGCAAGGCATCTTTCTGGATGTGCTAGGTGTGTAGGGGAGTGCAAGYAGATTGASTCCTGAATTCCTAAATGTGTATTTTCCCCTTGTAATCCTGTGCTACCAATGTTTGCAGAGTTATCTTTTAGGGGATATGTCCTATTTCCACCATGGGAAGGGATGCTGTTTTCAGCCCTGCTAAATCCTCACTTTTAGCATATACGAAAGCTCTCAGCTCATCAGCAGGGTCCTGCTCTGAGTGAATGAATGTCTCTGTTTTGGTGTTTATTTGTGGTATTTATGTCAGCAATTGTTGGGAATAGCAGCAAAAAAAAAAAAAAATTAGTAACAAGCTGAGTATTATTTGGTCTCTGCTATATTAGGACCTAGGTATTACAAGGCTGCCCATCTCAGATAGTTTCTGACCACGCTGAAATCAGGGCTGAGTTTCCTTGCAGCAACAACAAAACCAGACTGATTCCCTCTCCTTACATTAATGTGCAGTTCAAGCAGAAAATCTTTTATGGAAAAACCCAAAAAATTTTGATTAATGCCTCCTTCCCTTAAAAAAAAAAAAAAAAACCCTACTAAAAAACCCCACCCCAAACCCAAAGGAAAAAAACCTTGCTTTCTCTTCTTCACCTTTGGGGAGTGATTTATTGCAGCTCTCGTGCCAGCTGCCTGTGTCAGTGCACCATGAGGGCTGTGCTGACTCTCCACCCACTCACTCTCAGTTTGTAGCAGCTGATCACCAAATCCCTCTTCCTTTCCCCCTCCAGTGCATGACCTCTACCAGCCTACAGAGGTGGCAGGGAGGGATTTGCAACCTGTTTTATTCGTGTGTGGATGCAGAGGGCAGATGTGTTATATCCTCCTCTGGCAGCTTGCTCTGTGAAACTTGTATTCCTCTAGAGCCTTTATGGACAACCTGGTGACAAGTTGGCTGTATGCCACTTTTAGTGCAATTATCTGACCATGGATGGACATGAGGTTCAGTGCAAGCATAGCATCATTAAAATTTTTAACTTTGAATGAAGGAAACCCGAGGTTCAAGGATAAATTTGTATAAATAYCACATGCAACTATGTCAAAGCACAGCATTTCTGRTTTCTGRAGTAGYGTTTCAGTGCTTTCTGATGAAGGAMCATCTTTCAAGGTGCACCAGCAAATAATACACTTAACATTTGGGGTTTTTAATTAAAGCATTTCTTGGAAAATGAGCTGGAACATAGCTAAAAATAAGCCCTGTCTGGTGGATGCCCTCCTTCTCCCACAGCAGCCACGCACTTGCCTGCTCTTGTCAGGCGGGTGAAGAAAGACACATGGCTGAGTCTATCATGTACTGTGAACGTATTTTTCTCTCGAAAGGAATGAAATGAGTGCTCACCCGTTTGGYTCGGCATGGTTGTTTCCTCAGATGCTCTTGGAGTTTTCACAGTATTTCCCATTGTGCGCGCTAATTCCGTCAAAGTTCTTCGGAACTGAATCAAAGCAGACATTGAAATTGAACATCACAGTAACACCTGCTGTGCCAACAGATGAGAAATGACCTAGTTTGGGCGTCTCCGACTTCGTACAGTTTTGCTTTTGAGAACTCTCGTGTCAAATTCATGCGRGAGTTTTACATACCCGCTAAACTCTCACCACTTTGGTGCTTTTATCRGGGGAATAGCAGAAAACCACAGCTRGGGAAGTGCTCAGAAGAACATGATGTAGTAAAAGTTTCCATTACCAGTACCTCAGCACAATAGGAAGTAACTGCAGAGCTGTGCCCATATGGGCATTTCATATACAAAGTGTTTTTTTCAGCATTTGGGGTTCTGAGGCTGCAGCGGATCTAATTAGGTTGATGTCTCTGTTTTTCAGCACTGTGTTTATATTATATTTGTTTTCTACTGAACACAACCTAGCTTGGTAGGTTGGGGTTTTTTCTGATACAGTTTTGCCTTCAACAAATGTGGGCAATTTGAATTTTTATTTTTTTTTTAATAACACCTTGTCTAAAAAATGTTTGATCTCAAAACAGTCCTGCATAAAGCCAGCAGCCCAAATTCTTCAGATACTTGTCTTAAAAAGTTTTGGTGGTTGTACAGGAAACAGTATCAGACAATTGTGGAACTAAATACTGTGAGAGTAACAGTCCCTTCTCATAGCTTTGCTGTAGCCATCCAAATTCTCCTTGACAGAGGACAGAGAGAAAAGCCTTTTGAATGTGGAAGGTGTCTCATATTATGGTATATTTTCAAAGGCAGAAGACAATAAGCTATATCTATTTAAAAACTATACATTAAATCTAAATAACACCATCAGCTAATGAGAAATTATTTTCTAAAAATAAATTTCTCTCCATTGCCATGTGAAAATGGTAGCAGAAGCTCTAGCAGCATTGTTTGAGTATTTTGCATCTTATGGCCTTTTCTAGCTTAAATATTTGAAAGGTGAATTTGCTCTTTACTCACACAGGCTAGAGYCTCATGGGATCAGCTGGAGAAGTGTCCAGCCTGAGAAGTAGAACTGCTGACATCAGCAAGCCTTTATTGCTAATTGTCTTTTGGAGTAAGATTGGCAGAATTTCACTATGTTGATTAATACCATAAAATTTTAATGTCTTACAGCCAGTTTAGGAAGACATCCCACAGCATAAAATGCCATTCCAAGAAGGAAAATTTGTCCCTTATCAAATGCAATGAGCTCAGTGCTAGAACAGATGGTARCACACAGTTTGATTCTACCTCATCTGCTTTCCAAGCTTCTTAATGCTTGCTCCCAAAGGCTCTTTGCTAGAATTCTCTTTTTCACCAGCCAAATGGCACATTACCCCTTCGCTGTCTGCCCTCAGAACTGGCTTGTGGCACATCTGGAGGGTGCAGCTGTGCCASTTTCTTTCTGACAAGCATCTGAAACCTGCTTTCACAAGAACAAAAAGGTGTTTCATAGCCTGATAGAAGAAGTCTAGAAGCTGAATAAAACAGCACCTTTAAATTTAAATAAACTGCTTGGGTATGTCTGAAATAAAGGTCTATTGATAGAAAACAAACAAAAAAAATATTTCTTCACATAAATGCATCTAAATTTCTAAAAGTGAAACCTAGAATTTAAGCAGTGTCTGCTTGCAGCATCATAATTTCCTGATCTAACTACGAATATATTTCTGTAAGGCCCAATTTTAATTTATTGAATATTTTTCTCAGTTGTATCCCATCAAGAACAAGAGGTAAACCCATAGGAGTAGTACAGGCAGTACTTTGGCTACAGATATTATAGATGTACCTGGCTCATCTTCAAATTAGCCAGAAAAGTTCCCTGGATACAGCAATAGAGAGCTCAACAGGGCTGCAAAAGTCAGCCAGGACAGTGAGATAAATACCTGCACTGATAACTTCTGCTGAGCTCTGTGCTCCAGCAGATCCATTTTGCAGTAATTCAAAAGTGAAGCTCAAATCTTGCTCTTAGATGCAGTTTAGAATCTAAGCTGCAGTTACCAAAAACATTGTGCAATTCCAGACAGAAGGCAAGAATGACAGCATAAACATCTTATGTCCATCTACAATTTTGACACATTAAATTGATATTTAGATGAGAATTGCTTGCATTTTGTGTCCCTAAAGTATGAAAAAAAAAAAWAAATAAAGTGTCCTACGTCTAAGTAACTCTTTATGCTGAATCTTGTTATTTGAGGGCCCGGAGAACAAGTCATCCTACAAGTGTCAGCTTTGTGGCCAAGTGCTTTCAAGGGCATTTTTGCTACTCCTAATTTCAGGTGTGCCTGAGACACTTTGGAAAGTGATACGTAGTGTTCACGCGCAGTGGAAAGACTTCTCAAAATTTTACTTTAGGCTTTCAATCTTCCTAAAAGCACAGCATATTCCACCAAGGCACCTTTGTTTTTCTAGATGGCGTTTAAGGATCTAAACTCTGAATGTTTTAAAAATACCTGGAGTGTTTCTGCAGGGTTGCTTAAATGTAGTTTGCAATTACACCACTCTCTAGTCCAGAGGGATTAAATACTGGACAGCAGGCAGGTCCCTATATGGTATTTTTGCAGGGTACATCTGAAACTGGTTCACTTTGCCATATCAAGAATCGTTCTTGAAGGACGCCCAAAGTCATCAGGACAGAGCRTGCAGCTCCGTGCTGCTGCTGCTTTAGATGTGGAGGGATCTGGCTTGTGGAAAATGCAAACCTTATAGAGAACTTTCAGTAACAGTGAAGGGCAATGAGGTCTTTGGGCTTTGCTGTCACTAACGTGGCAGTTTGCTGTGTCTCCTTGCATTTTCCGTGCTCTTTTACTGTCACTACCATTGGTGGCATAAAGYTGTGAAAGGGACAGAGAGTTCAAGATGTTCTCCAGACTCATGGCAGAAGTGTTCAGTAAAAGTAAAAAAAAATAAAAAAGGAAAGCTGTGACCCTCACTGTTAATTCACTTAACCAAAGTGAATGAAAGGAAAATGAGACATCAGACTAGGTTTTACAATTAAGGCCACTTGTCATTATGCACATGGACAGAGTAAATGTTCCTATAGTCCAGTTGAAGGTGGTGGAGTGAACGTTCTGAGGTATGACTAAACCTGCAGATGTCTGAAAATGGGATGAAAATGGAAGGAATTGGATGTTTTATTTGAAATAGGGCAGTCAAAAGATTGTTTCTGATTACTTGCTGGCAATGGCACGTCACGGTTTGTAGAGTAAGAGTGTACAAATTGGAGTTGAATTTCTAAAACAATGATGCACTTTACTCTTGAGTGATGGAACTTAAGGAAAGTCATTCACTGAGAGTGATTTAGGAAGAATTAAAGATAAATGACAGACCCTAAACTAACTGTCTTATCTACCCTGATCCCTGCATGGAGTGCAGCTGCTGTTCAGCTCAGCCAGGTGGGCTGCTGGGAACCAAAATCTACCTGCAGCTCTCCTGCTCATCAGCCACCTTCTCATTCTTGCATGAAAATTTGGTTTTGACTATTAAGATCATATTTGCAATGTTCCAAGCATTGGTTCTTCCTCCCCTCCCCTTTCCACTTGTGCTCATGATGGCCAAGGAAAGGCATCCACTGCAGCCATGGCTGTTTTTGCACACAGCTATTAGGGCTCAGGGATCTTCACTGCCAAAAGAAAGATGAGGAAACATCGACAGTCCCAGTCCTGCTTTGTGTCCTATTTATCAGAATTTATATGAATTCTTCACCTGCCAAGACTGGAATCCCACTGACCTATATCAAGTGACCCCAAAACCTGCRGTACAATTTTCCCCTTCCGTTCCTGTGTGCAGCGCATGTAGTAATAACTTCCTCCTGAAGAATTTGTTCTCTGAGAAAACGTGCTTCTCCAATAGTTTGATAGCTCAGAACAAAAAGTTTTCACTTCGTAACAACTTTTTCAAAGTTATATTTAAAATTATTGAGCATTAGTAAATATAAAGAAATTAAATGAATAAAAGAAATAAAAAGGCAAGGTAAGCACTTGAGTAAAGCCCCTCTGCAAGGAATACTGTAGACTAGTACAATTAAGACATTCATCAATCCTATGATGCTATAGCCTATTTTATTTTTGTTTCCTGGTATTCACATTTATACTGCCAAGATCTTACGGTTTAATTCTCAATAAGGTTCACAGGTAATATCTGAATCCCATTTAGCTTGAAAAATTAAAGCAGCAGCAACCTGTCATTTTTCATGTAGGGAAAGAAAAAGCAAAAGAACTTAGATTCCAGAAGCTGTAAATTTTTTTTTTTTGTGAATTTCCCTTAATTTATCATTAATCATTATGAACGTCCTTTCAGCTTTGACACACTTATACCTTTGCACTTAGAAAGAATAACATAATACTCTCATCAGAGTAATTCACAGACACATGCAAACATGAAACAACACAGAAATACCACACCATGAACACTTCTAACACTTTGAATAAAAAGCCCGCTAATCTGTGGGCTCATATTTTGGTTACAGTGAAATGCAGTTTGCCTCAGCATAAGGTCCTAAGCATCTGTCTTTCTGTGAGCTTTCAGTAGAAATACTCCTTGTCCCTTCTATCTTTAGTACCACTCCTTATGAAACGAATCAAGGCAGGCTCTTCTATTTCTACCTTTGATGGTACTTGAAATCCACAGTCTGAATACAGTCATTGTTAATGAAACAGAACACCCTTGTTTATAAATTAAATTGAAACATTTGGCCTCATACACAGACAATCTAAAATATATCACAACAATGATTACCTTTAAATGCTTGGCATGGCATTCCAGGTTGCAGTATTTCTGAAAAAAGCCGTAGTCATAGTAGAGCTCTCGTGCTGCCAGCAAGGTTTAGCTGATCAAGTCGAGGAGCAGCCGGTCGAATGAGTGTGTTGTGAAGTTCACGCTGTCATGTAGAGCAGCATTTGCCAAACAGGCCACATACTTCCTCTCTGAGAAATAAGGAAGGCTCAAAGTGTTTGCAACAGATGAGGTTCCTGTTGCAAGTCACTACTGAAGGCATTTTTTATCTATGGGCTGAGAAAAACAGGGAGGTTTTCAATGTATTGAATCAGGGCTGGTTTTAGCAGATATGAAAAATGAGGAAAATAACCCGGTTTACATTACTTGCACAGAAAGGGTTTGTTTTTTTTTTTTTCTTCTTCTTCTTCCAAATTTATTTATCCAGTAATGCTCATCCCCCAACTGTTTTCTTTTATCCAGTTTTGCTATTTTTTTTTTCTGACAGACAGGAAGAGGCAGAAAACATTGTTTTTGCTTTTATTGCGCCTAAATGGGAATGCAGCCTTTACTTTATGCTTCTCTCTGTACCCCAAAATACCTGTCTGCAAATAATTGAAGCTTAATATAAGCAATGAAGAAATATGGATTGAAAGCCTGTCTATGAAGCCCATTTTCACATTAGCTGTAAAAAGTGCAGAAGCCTCAGGACCTTCCTCATCTCAGTGTCTGAGATGAAGGAGCCAAGATAGTGGTCTGTTAAATAACCTGACTAAAGGCACTGAAGAATATTGTACTGTGGATGTGAATGTAGAAGTAAAACGGATTTATTAAGGTTTGCCCTTTGCTTTTATAATCAAGATGTGATATGAGAAACTCACATCCCCAACGTTGTATAGGAGAATATATTAAAAAAAAAACAACCTGACAAACCCAAAGAAAACAAAATAACCCACCAGAAAACCCAATATGCYCAAGTAGAGTTCCTTTTTCACACCAGAGTAGCTCCAAGTAGGTGCTTATGTGGGAGCTGTTGTGTAACTGTTATTGACACCAGGAAACACTGATCAAATCCCCAAAGCTGTGCCAAAATTTGGAGCTACAGTAATTTCAGGAAAATATTCTTTCTCTTTCATAGGCTATATGAGAAGTCTTCATGTTGAGGAGATAGGAAAGCCCTAGGGAGCTTGATAAGCTAACCAGACTGTAGCACAGCTCCATGGTTACCCAGGCCAGTTATATTTTGATAGTTTAGGACCTTCTTGCTTTCTTCCAATCACAAGGATGTGACATGCATGTCCCTTAATGCCATTCTCCAAACTGATGAACAGTGTCTCTGGAATTACTAAAATATCATGKGTTAGGGGATGTCTGCATGTGGGAATAGGCAGAGGCAGAGCCTTTTCCTGATCCTTCTCACCACCTTCTGCCCTAGGCTGCCTCTGAAGGTCTTGGTGCCTTTACCAGGAGTAAGGTCACATCCTAAGATGCCCTCAGGAATGGGGCAGGAAAGATTGGCCCCATTAAAGGAGAGTCTGGATTTTTTTGATAGAACATGATCCGCTGCAAACACAGAAAATCTCAGGCACAGTTCGTACCGTGCTTGTAGGGGAAAAGATGAGTTTGCAGTGGAGGGAGGATAAATAGAATTCTCCATTTCCGTGTMATTTCTGCCTGTGGCTGTCTGTTCKTGTGCAATGATGAGAGCTGATTTACCCTTTCAGTTCATTTCGCTAATACCTTGTTTTAAATAGGATAACTGATAAGGTAGTGTTTACATCTAAATGGAAGAAAGTGCTTATATGAATTTAGTGGGACCTTATATGTTATCTTAGAAGYATTCATATCCTGTTATTGAAGTCACTAACCTGACACGGGCACTCTCTGAGTCACTCATGAGAGGAACATTGCCCTTGCCTGTGATGTCAGCAAAGAGGGGTTTGCAAACGCTGATATATGAAAAAGAAATCTTCCTTCTTCAGCAAGTTGGGTGGGTTTTTTTTTTTGTTTTTTGTTTTTTTTTTTTTTTTTTTTTTTTTTAATATATATATATATATATGTATATATATATATATATATATATATATATATATATATATAAGAGAGAGAACTCTTGCCTTTCCCCCATTTTTATCAGGAAGTTACAGTTCTACCAGACAGTTATGGAGGGAAAAATGTTTGTATCTTGGTCTCCTTTTCTGTTGCTGGACTGACCTGCCAATTCCCTGTTACACTCCCTTTACTGGTGTTTGCCACGTGTTTGCCAAATGTCTTCTKAGCTGTGACAGATACTCCCTTGAGCTCGACCCAAAGATTTCTACTCCTGCAGGCTGTTGAAGCCAGACTTTGTGAAAGCCTGGAAAAATGACATTAACGTCATCTCATAGAGCCCTGAAACCTGGGTGCCTTGTAAGYACTTGTCGCTATGCAGAATTGGATGTCTAAGGAAAAACAGAGCAGGATATGGGAAAACAACCCTGCAAAAAATAAGCAAAAAGGCTCCAAATTGACAASAGCTTCTGAAAATACTTTAAATCCGGTCTTTTAAAGAATGATCTCCTAAATTGATTGGAAAAGTGAGTCAGTGGTCGCTTAGTTACAGCTTGCTTATTTTTGCAGGGAGAAAAAATAGGATTTAAACAGAATCTTTAGTCTGGCATTTACTGAAACTGAAGATACCCTCAAACAGAAATAAGGTTCCGTTGTCTGTCCAAGGAGTGATTCCCTTTAGGCACAATCTGCAAAGGAGCAGGCTGTGGTATCYATTTCTCTGTGTCCCTGAGCCCAGCTTAAATGCTTCATGTAAGATCAGGCTTTAGTCAAACACAAGGCATGTTTTAAGTGATAGGAAGCACTTGAGCTCAGCAGTCAGGAAATGGAAGAGCCCTGGCTATCCCGGAGGTCAAACCAGATGGTCTGACAGATACTTCTGGCTGGGAACTGTGTGCATCTGAGCCTGGAGAGTGCCTATTTTTAACAAATAAAATATTGCTGTACAGCTGGCTCTTTTGGGAAAGTAGAATTCTCAGGACATTTCCTTGGTCTGACTGTTTGCATTAGATGTCTTTTGATCTCATTTTTGGGTGATGTTGCTGTACTTGCTGTTTGCATTGCCTGTAGCATGGTTCAGGACAGACAGAAAGCCTCCTTTGGTTTCAGTCATCAGAGAAACTGAATTCATTTGCAGGGACTGCATGTACTGAGGAGAAAAATGTGGCTCAAGCAAGAATTTAATTTTCAAGTCAGTTTGGAAAAAAACAAGAGGTCGCAATGTGAGGAGAGGAAGCTGGGGTTTGGGTTTGCAGATTGTGGATGATAAAAACTATTTCCATTGAAGTTTCTAAGCATTAGATCCGTTCTGAATAACTTATGAAAAAATTTGCAGAAGCAAGCTTCCAAACTAAATGAGGAATCAAAAGACATTCAGCACTGCTGCTGATATGGCAATTGTMTTTTCCAGATATGTTGTGAGACAGAGATACACTGATAACTCTGTGGTGTGCTGGCTCTGGCTGGACACCAGCTGCCCACTAAACCTGCTCTGCCACTGCCCTTCTCAGTGGGACAGGGGAAAGAAAATAGAATGAAATTCTTGTGGGTCAAGATAAGTAAGAAGTATTCATATAAGTAAGGGAAAGATCATCCACTAGTTACCATCACAGGTAAAGCATGGAAATTATTTATTTTMATTAGTTTAATTTATTAGCAATTAAACAGTGGGATAATGACAAGTAAAGCATGATTATGATCATCTGAGATTTTCTACTCTCACTTTTGCACACAACACTGCAATTACTTCTTGTAGACTCCCTCACTACCAAAACCTGACCACACAAACCAAACACAGGTCCATATGTTCTTTTTTATAATTTCATCAGAATAGCAGCAAGAACTTGTGGAGGAAGATTTGGGATTGCCATGATAGCACCAATGAAGGTCTGTTGAGTTATGATGTCCCAAAAGGGAAGTGTGCGAGAGGCAGCAGCCTCAGCTCAGTTGGTCACAGCCTGATACCAAAGTGAGAATTCATCTTCACATCGTTCTGATTGGCATCCATCAGCCTCTCACCATTGTCAGCTGCAACATTTCCTACTCTCTGAATTTCTACTGCRTAGCTGAATCTCTAATACTGAAAAGAGAGATGAAGCAATGCTGGCAATACTCCTGGTCCCTGAACTAAAGAGCACTGAAGGCTTTGCCTCCCATTTCCAGTGCTACCATTTATTGCTCAACACCGTAAAGTTCCTCCCATTCCTATGAATTTCGGAGAGCGGTGTAACAGTGCTGGTGTGGATTGTGTAACAGCTTCAACTGCTTCTTAGCACTTCAGTACCGAACATTTTTGGCTGGGCCAAAGTGAAAAATGTCATTGGAACTTCCTCTGTYGACAGTGGGTCTGTCTGTAAGGACAACCAAAACGAGAAGTGAGTGTGGCTTCAGTTCCCTGTAAATCCCTTCTAAATGATGCTAATAGGAAATTCTCAGTGATGACGAGGTGGCTAATGATTCTGATTTAATTTTGTATATCATTGTTTTAGAGGTTCACTTGCAAAAAAAAAGTGACTCTGCAGGATTAGCTAAAGATTTCACTTAGTTTACAAGTGAATTTTTTAGCTCTTATGTTGATAGGTACAGGAGAATTCCTGGAGAATTAAAAAACAGAGGACTAACAAAAAGAACACAGTGTTTRTTATTCTTGAGCTGATCTCATGATTTTTGGTTTTCTGATTCATGATTCTGTCATGTTGGTGGTAATATGGGTGTCATGTAWTGGAAATAAACAGGCCCTCCACTATTTCTGCTTCTGCCTAAATAGTCCTATTTTTGAAAGTACACAAGTCCGCCATTACTGGTTACTGGGACTAATCACACAAATAAATTATTGTTTTATAGGAAAAGAGAGAAATTTTKAGTGTAATTCTTGTTATTCTCTATGTCCCGAGCCTGCCTCTAACGTCGATTCAGTGTTTAGGGAAGATTTCTGTTTAATGTGAAAACTGCAGGCACAAAAAAGAAAGAAAATTAGTTCTGGGCAATTCCAGCTTCTGTTCTCACTTATTTGTTCCTGGAGGGGCTTTTTCTGCAATAAAGGAACAATAACCCTAAATTGTGCTGTGAATTTGAAAAGCTAAGAACTGGTACAGTTTTGCTTGCATAACTTCTGCTCTAAGAGGATCCATGTTTCTAAAGAGTGGAACATATTTTGGATGCACCGGGGAATAAAACATAATGGTA